ACAGCCCGGTGCGGGGGCAGCCTGTGCGGGGGCAGCCTGTGCGGGGTGTGTCTGCAGCCAGGCCAGGCCTGAGGGCAGATGGAAGGAAACCTTGCTGGGACGTGGGGAGTCCAGTCCCGGGGTCAGACGGGAAGCGTCTTCGCCAGGGATTCTGAGAGCGTTGGATGGGTGTCGTCACGCCGGGCTCTGAGGTGGAGGGTGCGGGTGCAGCGAGGAAGGGGGCCCGGTTCCTGCCTCGGTGCCTGCATTTGTCTGGTCACTAGTCTGCGTTTGTCAGTCGGTCCCGAAGGGGAGGGGCGGCCAGGCCCCAGACGATGCCTGATGGGCAGGCCGCATTCTGAGAGGTCGTGGTTTATTTAAACTCATACCTCTCAGCGTCTGCACAGGACCCGACCCTGGGCAGGGGCGTCCAGGGCAAGCTGCACGCCACAAGGTCACTGAAGGGCGGCGGGCGGCCAGCCCTGCCCTCCCCGCATGCGGGTCCAGAGGCTGCCGCCCCAGCACCTCCACCTCAGGGAGAGCGTGCTTGTTCCTCGTCAGAGGTCATGAGTGCGCCCATGTCCCTTCCCGTCGCGTTCCCCTGGCAGGAGCTCCAGGGACGGCCCCGGAAGCTTCTCGCTGGTGGACGGCACTCAGTGCGTCTCCTGCCCTCCCCCCTCGCCCCCCGCAGGTGTGGCTACCGGGGAGGCTACATGGAGGTGATCAACCTGCACCCCGAGATCAAAGGCCAGCTGGTGAAGCTGCTGTCGGTGCGCCTGTGCCCGCCTGTGTCGGGGCAGGCCGCCATGGACATCATGGTGAACCCCCCGGTGCCCGGGGAGGAGTCCTTCGAGCAGTTCCTCAGGGTGAGTGTGGTCCCGGGCCTGTCTCCACCCCGCCCCCGCCCCCGCCTCCGCCAGGGCCGCAGGTGCTCAGGGCATGTTCTTCGGGGGACAGGGCGTGGGAAGCGCCCACAGGAGGCGAAACCTGAGGGTGCGGCTGGCGAGTGTTGGGGTGGAGGTGGCCGCCTCTTTCCTCTCCCTCCCCAGTGGACCCCACGGATGGGCACCCAGAGAGAAGGACTGTGTCCTGAGAGCCCCGGGGATTCTGGTCCTAAACTCCCGGGGGGCGGGGGGGCAGCAGTGATTCTGGGCCACGGGCCGGCCTCTGGCCTCAGCAGACATCCTCAGCGCTTAACGTGGTCCATGCGGACCCTTTTAAAAAATACCTATTTTCATTGATTCCAGAGAGGAAGGGGGAGGGAGAGAGAGACGGAAACATCACAGAAACATCAATGATGACAGAGAATCACGGACCGCTGCCTCCTGCATGCCCCCCACTGGGGATGGAGCCCGCAACCCGGGCCTGTGCCCTGACCGGGAATCGAACCCTGACCTCCTGGGTCCTAGGTCGATGCTCAGCCACTGAGCCACGCAGCCGGGCCATTCGGACCCTTTCAATAGCAAGTGACGAGACCCGGCAGTGCTCATGCACGCAGGCTCGCCCTCAGGGCCGTTCCGGGGCTGCAGCCGCGCGGGGTCGGCGGTGCTGACTCCCGCTCTCTGTCCGTCAGGAGAAGGAGTCCGTCCTGAGTAACCTGGCCGAGAAAGCGAAGCTGACAGAAGACCTGTTCAACCAGGTCCCGGGGATCCACTGCAACCCCCTGCAGGGCGCCATGTACGCCTTCCCCCGGATCGTCCTGCCCCCCAGAGCCGTGGAGGCCGCGCAGGTGGGGCGCCGGGCGGGGGCTCTGGGCTGGGGCTGCTCCTGGCCTGGGCTCTGCGCCCCGTGGGCCCTTGGGGTGAAGGCGACACCCGAGGCCCAGCCCCTGCTTACTGTGCGGGCTGGAGGGGTGCTGTTCTGGGCCCAGTGGGAGGCGGCGACCGCGGCTGGGGGAGCCGGAGGCCCTCTCTCGTCCCCTGTACCCGGCCGTGGGCCCCAGAGCCTCCCCGCACACCTGTCACCTTCCGGTTCGGGTTCAGGAAGCCGGGAGGGCCCGAGATCCGCTTCTAACCGTTCTCAGGCGGTGCCACAGGCCCTACTTGGAGGATCAAGTGTTTCCGCCCTCCAACCTCCCCCGGGCCCTTGCTCCTTGCGCCAGCCAGGCAGCACCCTGGAGGCGGAGGGTGTGGGGGGGTGTGGGGGGGAGGCCCTGCCCACGGAAGGAACCTCCGATCCTATTGTTTGCTGGCGTTTCCGGTGGCGTTGGTGCCAAGCCGGGTGAACCGAGGCCCCCTGTCCCCGCAGGCCCACAACATGGCCCCCGACATGTTCTACTGCATGAAGCTCCTGGAGGAGACGGGCGTCTGCGTGGTGCCCGGCAGCGGCTTCGGGCAGCGGGAAGGCACCTACCACTTCAGGTACCACCCGGGCTCCTGAGCGCCCAGCAGAGCCTGGCTGCAGGGACGG